AAGTCCAGTTTATGATTTAGTACCTAATTATTATTGCAACCCTGAAATTGCATTTTGATTTCGCTACTTTGCCGCCCCTTAATGGTGCCGCCTGAGGCGGCCGCCTCTTTGTATCATAGCACCGCACGGCCCTGCATCTCCATAACGATAAACTAAAACTCATTCTCATTCGGCTATTTATTCAACAAGTTGCATCCTTTAACTGTATTTGTCCCTTCATACTATAAAATCTTTTTACAGCATGATAAATAGTTCAATTTTTTACCTTGAACATCAAAAAAATCTTATAACTCTTACAAAACTTCATGCTTTTCTTTTTTATACAACTTACAGCTTTTTATGTCTTTAGTTATAGATTTCCTTGTATTTTAACTGGTTTTCTATTTGAAAGTAACTCATTACTTAATAGTGGTTGCTTGCAATCTTGTTGGAAGTAGATTAGATTTGAAAATATATAAATATATGCCAGTATTTGAATAATAGTAAATGTAAGCAAAGAATTATAAAATTGTATAACAAATTATAACATAATATTTTAAGTATTATAAATTTTTTTCTAGCCTCGGCTATCAGCCCATGCTAAATCTAATAATTTTTGCGGGGCCGGGTTTGCAAAAAGTCTCATTTTTAGCTGGGGCCAAGGCCCTGGTCATTTATTTATGTTTTGTAAAGATTATTTACATTTTCAAAAGATTATTTTACAATAATAAAACTCTGAAAAAATAATAAAAAAAAAAAATAAAACTCTGAAAAAATGTCTGCCAAACATCTGGAGGTTTCTATATACATTTAGTAACTAGAATAAATGAGCACCTTAAAAGTGATAAACAATCTCATATATTTAAACACTTAAATTTATTTATTAATTCAAAAATTTGCCTAACTGTGATTCTTTTAAGATTTTGGATAATGCCCCAACAAAACACAAATTAAAGATAAAAGAAGTCCTCCACATTAAACGAGGAAGTCCCTTAAATAAATTCACATTATGCTATAAACTTAAGGGGGCTCACCCCCTTCAAAATAGCACAAAAAATAAAATAATTGAAATTTTGGGTATTTTGTTTTTTAAGTATAAAATTTAATGAGGAATCTGATTCTAATTTAAAAATAATAAAAAAAACAACATAAGTATGTCTATTTCTTGTTTTTTTGAACATAGTATAAAAGAATTTCCTTAGCAACGCTCATAGAAACAATTTTATTTTACTTTTTCTACCTATCTACAATACCTTTTTTATAAAACTTAATCTTATATGTGAAGTGTTAATTTTTCAAAGTAGTTCCATGTAGGTCTGGAAAAGCTATTTTTCAGCATGTTAAGCACGTTTCTACACAACCACATAACATACACTTCACATGTGTTATCACTATTTATTATAAGTTAAATTATGTTTTGAAGATTATTTAGTGATTATTGTATTTATTTATAAATAATTTATAAATATTTTTAGTTGTGTGGATAAGTTTAAAAATAATTATTGGTAAAAACGAAGAGCTTAATTATTAAGTTAATAATCGAAAAAAATAATGTTGCAGATAAAAGAACGATAATAAATGATAAAATTAAAAAAGTAAAATTTGCAAGTTTAAGAAAAAAGAAAAGGAAGTTTAAAGGAAACCAACACACAAACAAAAAATAATGTGTGTTAATGAAATCTGTTAAATCTTGTTCCATTTACTTCAGCATCATTACCAAAAACAAGATCTTATACTAAGCTGTCAAGCCATGCTATTCCTCAGCTTTTAAATGATGGTATTACTGGGAATAGAATTTTGGACATGTTCCGTTTATCAAACTTAATTTCAGTTCTTGGTTGTCCTTAATGCAAACAAAGTTCATGTATGAAGCTAAGTGAAAGTTTAAAATATGGGTTTGCAAGTAAAATGAAAGTAAAACGTTCTTGCTAATGGGAACATTCATTTTAGACATCAAAAAAACTACCTTTTAACTTACGAGGGTTCAGTATAAACTATAGAATAGTATACTCGATGCGTAGATGAGGTCAAGGCTTTGGTGGTATTAATCGTTTTAGTTCCTTTATGAATTTTCCACCACCATTTACATCAAAAAATTATACCAAGATGTTTTTACGTTAAAAAAGAGTGTTAAGGTTGTTGCTACTCAAACTTTGAATGATGCAGCTCAAGAACTAAAAGCGTTATCCAAAAATCCACCACAAATTAGTTTTTATGATGTACCTGTGTCATGTGATGGTACCTGGCAAAGGCAAGGATTTTCATCGCTAAATGGTACTGTTTGTTGCATTTCAATGGACACAGGCAAAGTTTTGGATGTTGTTCCGATGAGTCAGTATTGTAAAAAATGTGAGAAAATTTATAAAATGACAGACTCATTAGAAAAAACTAATTTGGAAATTATTCACAACTGTTCAGCAAATTTTACTGGATCAGCACTAAATATGGAAACAGAAGGCACAAAAATTATTTTTGCGAGATCCACAAAATTGCAAATAAGGTATACAGAATTATATGGAGATGGCGATTCCAAAAGTTTTATTTCAGTGAAAAACATATACGATGGTATAGAAGTTGTAAAGAGAGAATGTATAGGGCATGTTTTTTTATTCTGAATATCGTATTCCTTTATTTTTAGTTACACAGCGATTTTTTCAATTTTTATTTTTATTCGTGTGGTATAGTTTATAAATATAAAATTATAGATTATGTAGATGTTGTATAATTTTCCATTATCAAAACCCCTTTAAATTAGTTTTATCAAGCTTAGAATTAAAAAGCTCTAAAAAATAACATCTTACTATAGCTTTTTTTACAAAATGTTTTACTTATTTTCTCAATATGCGTTTTTTCAGAGTTTAATAGAATTTGGAAATGTGATATTTCTTTTTCTATTATAGCTTTTGAGCTAAAATTTTCACACAACACCCAAAATAGATTGTTTCATGCAATAAATCAAAAGTTTGCTTTAAATTTTTTGTATTTTCTATAATTAGCTTGTTTAAAGTTTGTTTTTATCTTAAAAATATAAAAAAATTTTGTTGATTTTTAAAAACTTAAATAGATATCTTTCCCAAAATAATATTTTGATTTTTTTTGGTTTATTGCATGCATCTTATGTTAATAAACAATGTTAGAAAGTTTCATTGAAAAATATTTTACCAATTCAAGGGAATTATCTTTCCAAATTTCAAGAATTTATGGTTTTTGCCATTTTGAATCAGTATCCATGGCAACAGCTGTCGTTATTTTAAAATAAAAATATATTTTTTTAATTACTATTATAATATTCTTTCCAATAAATACCCTAAAAAGCATATGGACTTGGTAGTTCTCGAAAAAATTTTGAAGGGGGTGAGCCCCCTTAACTATTTAATTTTACTGTCAGTTTATTATTATTTTTTTAGAGTTAGTTATTTTCTAATAAATTTAGTCAGGTCAGGTTTATCCTGCTACTGGTAACATGTATACCCAGTACAATATGCTTCATGTCCTGCTGCCTTGTAGAATACGTCTTTTAAGGCAAATGCCAGGAGATGCAAACTCTGACATAAAACACCCCTGCCTTGGGGCTTTTGGTTGAGTAAAGGCTAGAGATGGTGTCTCGATAAAAATACTCATCTTGGGCAGATGTTATATGCATCCGGCTGCTGTCTTGTAGAAGGCCTCCTAGGCAAAGACTTAAGGTGTAAACAGATTCTATCTGTTGACCAGTCTCGCACCCCTTCTTCATCTATTAGGCTGGCGCAAATGTATTTTTAATACATTTTTTCCAGTTTATAACTAACATCCATAAACTAGATTACAAAAGGATATGCAGGATGACAAAGATACGCAGGATGACAAAGATATTTTAAAACAAATTCGTTCTATCTTTCACATAGAGAGATCGTATTTGTTTTAAAATATCTTTTTTATCCTGAATATCATTTGAGATAAAGTGATCTAGGTATTTACACTGCATAGTCTATGTGAGAACCATTTTAAATAATGTAAAACAACGGTTATCTAGGGGTTTACAGCTTTTAAAAAACATTATTTGAGACCTAATATTGTTATAAACTATAGCATGTTTCACAGAATACCAGGAGTCAAGTAAGTTCTTAAGACCTTTGGCTGAGAGTGCACACAGGAAAATATCATCAGCATAGAGAAGATGGTTGATAAAAGAAGGACCCAAGCAGCACCCTATGGCAATTACATTAAATAGAACACTAAAATTGTTAATATATATATTAAATAGCAGAGGAGACAGAACACCTTCTTGTCGCACTCCATTACTGACGGTAAATGTTTGAGCCATTGACAGGTAAATTATATATATATATATATATATATATATATATATATATATATATATATATATATATATATATATATATATATATATATATATATATATATATATATATATATAATATATATATATATATATATATATGTTTTATGTTGAAAGAATTTAACAATCAAAGTTTTAAATAGTAAAAACAAACCACTTCAAAATGATATATTATTTATCATTTTTTAAGTGGATTAATATAAAATATGTTAAATAATGAAATATAGATAACATAAACAACTTATAATTTATAATTATAATGAATAAAAGCTGTAAAACATGTATTAAATAAATATTGAAAGTTAAGTTCTTACAACATAAAAAAAGGCAGATAGAACCCGATAGTTCTAATGTGGCGATATATAAATATATATATAAATAATTATATATATATATATATATATATATATATATATATATATATATATATATATATATATATATATATATATATATATATATATATATATATATATATATATATATATATATATATATATAAATATATATATATATATATATATATATATATATATATATATATATATATATATATATATATATATATATATATATATATATATATATATATATATATATATATATATATATATATATATATATATATATACTTGAGCCAAAAAACTACAGACCAGTATCCCTAACATCTGTGATTTGTAAAATGTTCGAAAAGCTCATTCGGGACACAATTCTGAAACATTTAGTTTCAAATAGACTTATATCTGAGGAGCAAACTGGTTTTGTTCCAAACAAATCATGCACAACAAATCTTAGTGAGACAATTGACACAATTACATTTGAAACTGCAAAAGGTAAACCGTTATGCGTCATATATCTTGACTTCGCAAAGGCTTTTGATAAAGTAGAACACAAAAGATTATTGACAAAGATTAAAGCGTATGGTATAACTGGTAAAATATATAACTGGATTGAAAGTTTTCTTGCAAATAGGAAACAAAGAGTTGCTATTAGTAATACTTTTGTTGTGATACCCATTAGTGATACCCATTCAGTGATACCCATTCAGAATGGGTATCAGTTACCAGTGGCGTGCCTCAGGGTTCTGTTTTGGGTACAATGTTGTTTCTACTATTCATAA